AGGTTGCCAAACATACTAGCACAACACCAAATTCATTGCCTTGGTTATGTTGTAAAGGAAGCAAATCTAATACAAATAAAAGCTTCTTCACTACCATCCCACTTAATTTTCATTTGCAAGTAAACTAATTGACTCAATCTCTATATCATTGCATGAAGAAAAACTAGTAGATTCTGTGAGGTAGGTTTTCTCTGTAACATCATCTTGTTGTGTTGCATGGGGATGAAACTGGAAAGGGGTGGGAGGCATTTGTAAGCTCTCAAGTTCTGCTTCAAGCATCTTTATGACTTTGTTCATTGAAGGGCGATCACTTGGCTTCATCTGTATGCACCACAAAGCTACAATGATCATTTTCTTTGCAGTTCTCTTTTCATCTTCATTGGTTTCTCTTATTTCTAACTCCATTCCTTTGTTCAATTGCTCTGATGCCCATGAAGGAAAGTGGATCTGACTCGAATGCTCTACAAATGGGTTCACATTCTTTCTTCTGCTAGCCATTTCCATCAATAACATCCCATAACTATAGACATCAGCTTTGTAAGAGACACTTCCTAAGTTCTTGTAAAACAACTCAGGTGCCATATATCCTAGAGTTCCTCTTGCTGCAGTCAAGGACACAGTATTACTTTTAACTGAGTATAACTTAGCAAGACCAAAATCAGAGATTTTTGGAGTGAAGTTCTCATCTAAAAGAATGTTGTGAGGCTTGATATCAAAATGCAAGATTTGCATATCACAACCTTGGTGTAAATACTCAATCCCACGAGCTACTCCTAGAGAAATCTTGTATAGATTTTCCCAACCCAAAGTTGCAATATTCCCTTCTCTTGAGAAAATATGTTTATCAAGAGATCCATTCGGCATGAAGTCATAGACAAGGGCACGTTTTGATCCTTCAACACAAAAGCCAATCATTTGTACCACATTGACATGGTGAATTCTTCCAATGGTGGCAACTTCATTGAAAAAATCTTGCCCTGTAGCATTTGATTTGCCTAACATCTTTATTGCTGCAAAGCGACCACTCTGAAGCTTCGCTTTGTAAACTTGACCAAAACCTCCTTCACCCAATTTCTCCTTAAAACCATTGGTCATCTTCTTGATTTTTGAGTAAGAATACCTTACAGGCATGAGGTTATTGTTACTTTGCAAGAATTCTTCAATAGAATTATACATGGATAAATGTCTTCTCCTCCATTTGAAGACTAAAAATATGATGAAACTTGGAATTCCAAGAATAGCTATTGGTCCATGCCATAAGATCCAAAACCAAACAATATTTCCACAAAACACAACAATGTCTGCGCAAAAAAAAAAAAAATCCATGACATAATATTAATTTATATATTGTGTGTGTGTGTGTGTTTTTTTTTATTTAGGTAAAAGAATTGAAGAAAAATGTTTATTTGTCAAATCTACAAAAAA